GAGAGAGAGAGAGAGAGAGAGAGACGTCTCATTCAGAATGGTCAAAGTAGAGGCAGACGGACATGGCCCTGACTAGAAACCCAGTTCTGAGTGTTGGATGATGTACCCGCTTGATCCACTGTGATCTGCAAGCACCAGGCAGCTCACACTTGTTTGTCTAATCAATGCCATTGCTGTTGCATTATAAACCCCTGTAAGAGCCTATGTGGGTTAAGCAGGAACTTTTTTGATACAAAAAAACACTCTTTGGTGCAGATATTCATGGTGCCCAGATCTTTCTTTCTTCTGTTTCTTTTTGCCAAGCTTGTCTGACCTAGCAAGAGTAACTAGTACCAGAGGTTGTTAGTAACGAGTTACATTTACTCCATTACATGTACTCACGTAACTTTTTGGAGTAAATTGTACTTGTCAGAGTAGTTTTAATGCAGCATAATTTCTACCCTTACTTGAATAGATTTTTACATTTTACATTTGAATACATTAATCTCGCTACTTTTATTTCTTTATTATTTTATGCATTTCATGATTTGGTTAAGAGGCAGGTGGTCAGCTGTGGTTGTGAACCCTGGTCAGTACATCAGGGGACCGTGCTGACAGCGAGTGTGTCTGTTGTGTTAATGCTGCTAGGTTTAATAACATATGCACACAGTATATCATGCTTCAAAACTGCAACTACCCCTGATTTCTGTTGTCATGTAAATATTGGAACAGTGTGGATTTAACTAGCCATGCTTTGTGTAGTCTGATGAAGAGAGACAGAAAAGTAGACACCAAATCATGCACACAGAAAAAAAGAAAAAGACGAAGTGCTTTTATTTCACTTGGACAAAACAGAACAGATGTGTTTCAACCACAGATAGTCTTCCTCAGGTCAAAGTGAAGACTTTAACACACCTGTATTTAATAGGTCATTATCTCATGATTAGCCTGAATAAGTCATCTGATATAAGCAGTGGCGGGCCGTCACGGCCAGCAAGGCCTTCTCTGCTGGCCTAAACAGAATGACAAAGTTATAGCTATTTGATAATTTTTCTTAAATACACTACATGTATTGTAATTTATAAAAATATTTTTCCCATTATCTTATTTTCTCATTGCACAGCTACTGTCTTCCTCAGTTGCTCTGCTTCCAGTGCAGCTTGTTTTAAGTAGAGCTTTTATCCAATCAGATTTCACCTCTGTGTCTCTAGGTAAGAACAGAGACCCAGGCCTGCAGAGTCTCAGGTGCATCCAGTGCAGATTAAAGTAAATGGAGACGATATTGTTGATTGTCATAGTGTTCAACCAATCAGATCTTTAGTTTGACATGTTGGGCGTATTCTTTGACTATCAGAGCCTGTGCGCCGGCCTGTAATGACGTCAGCATTACATGCCGCTCAGTGTCCATGTGTAGCTTTGCCGTGAGGTGCAGAGTGTGCTGTGATTGGTCAGTGGGCGAGCACGTGACTATCGTGAAACGAAACTTAACAGCCAGCAGAGGCTGATGGGTAGTGAATCACATCACGTGATGCAGCTCAGCCAATCAAATATGGGCATTCTGACTGAGTGAGATGCACCATGACAGAGGAGACTGAGACGAGGAAAGACATTGCAGAGCAGTAAGTTCAACGTTCAAGTTGTGAAAGTAAAATCTTATGATAGTCTCTTTGGGTTGTGGCTTGTCATTAAGGAGTGATGGCGGATCCCACAGCCAGACCAGCTGAGAACATTATATTTCCTGAATTTAGGCTTTTGCATTTTGTAAATGCTCTTGCATTATTCAAACGACTTGTACTGAAAGGTTTAATACGAAGATGTACATAGTTACAGCCTTAAAAATGATTAATAGCGGTGGTGCCATAATGTGGTTAGAAGGTGGTATTTCAGCTGCAGGACAGCAGTGAAGGCCCAGGTATAAAATGCACGGCCCGCCACTGGATATGAGACATTTTCACAAAGACAAGAGACTGATTTGTCCATTTCTCTCATCTTATTGTCTCTAGACCGGACCGGGGATGGGACGTAGGACATCTACATTAGAAGGACCAAAGTTTTAGGACAGTGCAACATGTTGACACTCTTTATATTTACTTTCTGACATCACAGACACCGTCTACTATGCACATGATTTACTGATTTATTTGCCGAATTATAATATAATACAGGAGACCACAAGCAAAGAATGTAATTTTCTTTTACTTATTGGTTAATTATAAAGTATAATACTAATGTCATATTTAGTGATCTCACTTGAGAGATACAGAATATTGTCTGGTGTATAAGTGGCAGGTTATCTAATCAATAAATGATGACATGTAATTTCATCAGTAATACATTTAAATACAGTGAATGTTGAATTCTTTAACTTTATATACATTTCCACATCAAACAAAAGACTCGGGGGAGGAAAGACAGTACGCTGCAGGCGCATCTTTTTTTTAATTAAGTAAATACTTTTGTACTCTTACTCAAGTAGTTTTTCTGATGACTACTTTTTCTTTTACTTAAGTGCTTTCTTGCAAAGTAACAGTACTTTTACTTGAGTACATTTTTGTCTACTCTACCCACCACGGACCAGTTCTTAGGATTGGTCAAGCTACCACTTGACCTTCAAACTGTAATATCAAATGTGTAATATTGGCACATTGCAAAATATGTAGAGGCTTGATGTACAATTCTTCTATTGCATTTTGTTTATCTATTCATCAAATTTTTGGGAAATATGTATGCAGGATGTATATCAAATATCAATATATATTAATCTTAACTGTAACTAGTGATGGTGGATGCGGTGCATGGTTCCCTACCTTGTACAGTCTCTCCTCAGGGATCTGCTCTCTGACAGGGGCGTAGTCCCGCTGCAGGTCTAATACAAATCCCAGCAGGCCACACTCTGTCTTGTTGCCCACCTGCTTAGCCAGACCCCCCTCCACATCAGGCGGCTGATACAGAGACAGGTTGAATCCAGTTTGAGTGTTAGATTAGCCATGAGACGGTCGGGAAGGGAGACAGAAAAGGAGACAAGAGATGGATGAGGCAAGAGGAAACGAAAGAGGATGACATTAAAAAAAGGCAGGACTACTGAAGAGATAAAGCCAGAAGAGTGGTATCTCTGTCTGTGCATGACTCACTAAGATCTTGGAGGTGTAGGCGCTGTTGATAGCGATAGCATTGACTAATAGATCCAGTGTCCGGGGGTTTATCTGTCCAGGGTCCGGGACCACACGGTGGTGCACATCACCTGGGCAACAACAATCTAACATTAATACACATCAATTATAATCTCTGTACACTCAGCCTACGCTCATTGGATTTGCACATTTATTCACCCAGTTGTGACCTGAAAATGGAAATATCTCGCAATAGATAAACTGCTTTTCTGCTATCAAAATGAAATTGAGTTTTTATTGGTTTTAATGGTGAGTTAGGGATGCAATATTACGGCCTATTGGCCAAGGAAAAGGTACTGGGGATACACGAAGAACATAGTTATGCAGTTAGATGACAGCATTAGTGACAGCATATCAAAGGGGCACTCCACTTTACTTTACTTTTTACTTGTCATGAATCTTGGGGAGTACTACTGAGACTGTGTAAACAGTTGCATAACGTCCTCTGTGACTTAGGAGGAGCTTTGACAAGTCTAAAAAATGAATTGTGATAAATTGGTGATGTCATCTGGGCCGTCTCAGCTTAGGCTTGATGGATACAAATTGAAGGGTTTCTAAATTTGTAATTAATATTGTCACATTACTGAGTGTGAACATAAAATAATACAACTGGGCCAAGAAAGGTTTCTTGAGGAATTCTATAGGCAATAGTCTGTATTTGAGCTAAAGAACTGTTTTCCAATCAAGTATGAACAAAACCAATCAAGTACACATGATGACAATTCCCCCACTGCTCAGGTCTGTCAGGTAAAATATCACATTTGGACTAAAGCACAGCACAATTCAAAGGGATATTTTTCATGGCATCCTCATGCCCATCCCCACCAACGCATATCTTTTTATAAGGACTTTATTTACAAATAACAAAGGAAGCAATGCTATATTATTTCTATAATATACTACAGATTGGTTTATGTTCTAAATTCATGTACAATCCACCAAGAGTTCAGCTGGGACAAACCACAAAAGCTTCTCCTCTCAAGCTAAACCCAGACTTTGAACGGTATTTTAGTGAGTAAGTGAGTGAAACCAGCTTCTGAATGATTGGCTAGAGAACAGGTAGTTGCAAGGAACGACACACAGTTTGGAGATTAAATTGACTGAGACTCAGTCTGTTGTGTCACTGCGACAGTGACAACGTCTGGAACCAGGATCAAAATTAGACAAACTTTACATTGTTGAAAACTAGACTAAAATGCCTACAGGTTTACAGTTTCCACAGGGACTAAAACTAATAAAAATCAAATATCTAAATTTGACTAAAACTAGTATACATTTTCAAAAAGCCAAGTCAAAATAAGTCAAATCACTTGTTTGATTGAATGAGAGAGCGTTGAGGGTTTCTCTGAGCTAAACATCTTATAGGAATGTATGTTGTTTGTGTGGTGAAACTTTAAAATATACGGTAAAAAAAGAATGTAATTAACAAATCTTGCAGCACCTCTTCCCTATTCCTAAAGGCGCACTAGGGTGCCACAACAGCACTCATGTTGGGAAACACTGATCTATTCAAAGACTTCTGAGTCATCTAAGCAGGGAGGATGTTTTTCAAAATGTAATCCTATTTCTCAACATTTATACAATCTGAGCATTGCCTTGTGTTTTCATTCGAGGGAACCATAGGCAAAACAGATCATCAATAAAGACGTGCTTGGTGATATGAATTCATTTATAATAATCTATTATTATTTATGAATATTTGCTTTTCACTCACCTATGTGAGTCTGCACCACAGTCATGCGGTTGGTGGTGAGGGTGCCGGTCTTGTCGGAGCAGATGGCCGTGGCGTTGCCCATGGTCTCGCATGCATCCAGGTGGCGTACAAGGTTGTTGTCCTTCATCATTTTCTACAAGTGAGATAGTGATGGAGAGCAGAGGGATGGATGGAAGGGTGTGGTGGGAAGGAATGATGATGGATTGAGGGAGGGCAGAAATACAGAGGTAGAGAGAAATGGATTGAGGGGTGGAAGGAGAGAGGGAGGCATGGTGAATTCTAACTGTGATAATTCAGGGATATTATCATCCAACATAATTTTGAGCAGTGCATATAACTTGGTGTGTGTAAAGAATGGTAATTAATGTATGCTGAAATAGAGCAGCAGGCCAATTACATAATAATAACACATTGATGAATTACCGTTTTCAAGTGGATTCATACACAACTTTATACAGTAACTTTGCTGAAATTAGCTACACACTCTGATTGTGGATCTGAATGATATTAGTTTAGAAACATGATGTGTGGAGCTCCTCAAGGCTCAATCATTGGTCCTCTTCTTATTAACATTTACACATCATACAAACAATAACATCAACTATCATAATTATTTAGACAAAACCCAAATGCACCCTTTTCTGTCACCAAGCCTCTACAGTTCCATAGATTGTCTTTGCAAGGACACTGAACAAATGATTGGATGTCCCTGAACTTTTTTTCGGCTAAATGCAGGCAAATATGTACACATCACAAGAGAAATAGCATTCATGCATCTGACGACCAAATACCAAGTCCGAAATCAGGGGCAATCTAGGACTCAGGGTTCAACTTTAACAGACACGACATGAAATTATAGCAAATCAATGCCACCATCTTAAAAACAGAGCAAGAATCAGATGACTCATGTTCAGTCAAGACTTAGAGAAATTGATCCATGCTTTCATTTCCAGCAGGTGACATTACTGTAATTATCAGAAACTAGGAATAGTCTGGCACATAATCCACCTCAAAACCAAAAAACAATCAAAAACAATAATTGCCAATTTTACAAGTTTAAGTCTTTGTTAAACAAACAAGACATACAGTGTTACATTCTGAGCTTCAAACCCTACTGGTACGTGCATTTTGTCAACTTTGGACTGAGAAAAACAAGCTGTTTAAGCCTGTTTCCAGTCTTTATGCTACGCTAAGCTAACAGGTTTATGGTTGCAGCTTCATATTTAATGGACAGACATGAGAGAGGTATCAATCCCCTCCCAAAAATGGGCTTTATGGAGCGCCTTGGCAGCCGAGTGGTTATAGCACATGCCATATATCCGTAGGGGTGTGAGAAAATATCCATGCACTTGAGTATCACGATATTATGTTTTGTGAAACTGTATTGATTCTCAAAAACAATGTATTGATTTTAATTAATAGTTTACAAGCAAAGATTCGTGGCAGACAGCGGCTCAGATTGCCAAAAGTAGTGCTATGATGTTGGACACACATTGACTGTGATGTATGCAAATGCAGATCCCACTGCATAAACGAAAATTATCTTTTTTTTTTGCTCAGATGTTTTGCATATGGTCATGTGGTCTTTATACTCTGACAGTGATCCTACAGTCAGGTTTAAAAAAACAAATATCTCGCCTTACTTACAGTAACACAATGTATTGAACCCTAACCCCCATATCATCATACATTCATGTCGCCAGATTGTGGCCATTACACAGTCCCATATAGGCATTCAATGGAATCATATTGTAATGGAATCATATATCGAGATATCGTGATATACAATTATGTCAACTAAATTGATAATAACAAGCACATACTGACTTAAATTTCTCAAAAGAGTATAGTGATGAGAATTCTGTTTTTGAGAATACCCCAGTATAGTTAAATCAAACTCATGTCTCAATGTGATTACTCTGTAAATATACTCAGTCTATAGCTGAAATATATATTTATTTGTTCCTCTATGATTTCACTTGAAAGTGTTATATTCATTTTGCACCTAAGTTCTTAGTTAATGAGAAAGCACTCCCTACTTTGAATTTGTCAAGTATTTGGTTCACACAGGAGTATACGAAAATACGCTCTACCATGTGGTAATTTCATATTGACTACTTACTTATTGAATTACCAGAAAACAGTCTACATCGTGATATATATAGTTATCAAGATATGAAACAACCTATATTTGGATAGAAGATTGTGTCCATATTGCACAGCCTTAGTCCTATGTAACTACAACGTCCTGGGTTCTAATCCAGCTTTGGGACCTTTGTTGCATGTCATACCCTCTCTCTCTCTCTCCCCCATTTCTATACTGTCCTCTGTCAATTAAAGACAAAAATGGCCATTAAAATAATATACAAATGTACTGACCTATCCTTTTAATATTTTTGCAATCCTTAAAATCATGCAAATGAGGGGGAGAAGGAGGCCTTTATAGCTCTGAGCAGTGTTTGCAGCTTTTCCTCTTGGGCTGCATTGAACCCCAACAACCTTCAGCGATCATAGAGAATGTAGCCCTGTGTGTAGAGGGGAAGCTAGGAGCAAAAAAAGCCCATATCTCTCACTGCTGCTCATAAAGCTTATTGCTAATAATGCACGGCAATAATTGAAGACAACTCAGAACAGCAGCATCAAAATTTGTTTCATCTCCTCTCTTCCATCATCTGGATTTTGACCAAGTCATGAGGCAGAGCTTAGAGAGATTTTAGTGAGCAAATCATACTGAGACTGTAAAAGTGAGGAGAGTAAAAGTAGGCTTTTGAAAGGCGAGGGGACCATGCACTCCTTCACCTGGTTGTCTCCGGTGGGGTCTCTATGCACAGTTACAGTCGTTAAACTGCATTTCCATTCGCTAAGCATTCAGTAAAGTGGATGGGTGGGTCTACCTTGACAGAGTAAGCCAGAGAGATGGTGACAGCGAGAGGTAAGCCTTCTGGGACAGCCACCACCAGCACAGTGACTCCGATGATGAAGAACTTGACAAAATACTGGACGTAGACCGGAGTGCACTCTGCCATCCACGTGTGACCTGCAACACACACACCATACTATATATTGAGAGTCAGTCCAACTCAGCAGAGTGGGAAGTATCGAGACTTTAAAATGTGCCAGGAAGTGAAAGAGGTGCATTCTGGGATAGTACGTGTGTCTTTTCGGCACGTTGTTTACACACAGACCTTCAACGACAAACGTGTTGATGACGAAGAACAGCACTAGGATGATGACGGTGATGGCCGACATCACCAAACCTGTGGGGGGAGATTCAAAGAAGGGAATCAGTCACTCAGACTTTATTCAATATCTATTAGGGCTGAGCTCAACCAAAGACATTCGGAGTCGACTAACTCTCATACGATTATGTCAACTAATGGATTTTTGATTTAATCGACAGATCTGTAAAACTGAGTTTCTCTACAAAGAGTCACACAAGAGCAGCACTTTAAATCTTGTGTTTACCAAAGATGTGCTCATATGTGTTTGGAAATGAGTTATTCGGGATGAAAAATGACTAATTGATTAAAGAAATCTTGGTTGACTAACAGACTAAGAGCCCTAATATCTACGTTTGATTTTGGGTCTGAAGTGATGCATGCCTGGTGAATGAAGAGCCACTCAGTGCTTCACATTCCATCAGTTTATAGCACGTGAGAATATCATCTTTTACATGTCTGTTATTGAGCAGCACATCATTCTAAGTATCAAGCTTCCCACCTTATGTGCAAAGTTTCACACAACTCCCACAATTCATTTCTCATATTCAGAGAGCTCATTGCTATATGTCATTGCCCCAGTAGCTCTGTGGGACAGAATCGACTCTACATGTTTTTAGTGTAGATAGTTCTCTAACGACTGCTTAAAGGTTGTGGAACACAGGGTTCTTTACCTGCTTTGCCAATTTGAACAGCTAGTTTGGTGAGCTTGCCCTGCAACACACTCTTCTCTTTCTTCGGAACGCTGGTCTTCTTCTTCTCTCTGTCCTCTACCTCCCCTCCCTCTGCACTTTTTAGGGGTTGCATCTCCATGGCAACACCCCCGTCCTGCTTCTTGGCTGAAACACATATAAAAAAAAACATATACACTCTCTTCAGTACCGTACCTGCAGATGAAGTAAGCTCATCCTACATCCAAACCAAGCTTTACACACACACATGCACATGTCATGAGCCTTTACCTTTGTTCTGATTGTTCTCCACAGCTCCATCAGGTTGTTTTCCTGAGAGAAAGGGAGACTGATTTAGACACATGGATACATAGAAAGACAAGTGTTCACGTGTGCATATTCATATGCTGAAAAAACTGTTCATATTTCATATTTTAGGACAGCCAAAGACACACTTCCAGAGACAGAAAAGCACAAAACACTAAAGGGAAGAATAATACAGGTTCACACATCTTCATACACTGGGTCAAGAGACCGAGAGACATATTTCATATGTGTAAGCCCATCATAGGTCACTTTCACTGCACTGTGTGCTGGGGTCCATTCATTGGCTGAGGAAAGGATCGGGGCAGGCAGACAACTTTGTGCTCACATACCATTGGTGACTGTGCTGAAACTGGCATCTGTAGAGATGAGCAACTGAGTACTGTCCTCTGTTAGGGGAATGTGTGAGGGAGGAAGGTTTTGGGGCACGTGAGAGGATTTGGCAAAAAGGGAAAACAAAAGAGAGCAAAGAGGGAAGGAAGAATAAAAAACTCAAGTAGTGAATGTGTTTGTAGGCACTACTGTTCTAGCAGAATGCTTGTAGATGACTGTATAGAATGGCAAAAATTAACAGAATATAACCTCAATCTCAAATGAGAGACAATTCAAAGAGAACAGTCTATAGCACCATAGCAAACCCACATTGCATGAGGAAAAGAAACTAACACGTTATGGCATTTGTAGAAGTCTTATGAATAATGTATTAGCTCCAGTAAATGACTGTCTGAATGATGTAGCCCACAGAGGCTGCTGCACTGAGCGTGAAACATCCTAGTGTGCAACTAACACTTTGGAAAACAAGCAATAAGAGTACATTTCTTTCATAAAATAAGCATCATCAGCTATATCGTTGCTGTCCATTTCTGCATTGTAGGATGCTGTACATGTTTTCTCCTTTTCAAGATGCCAACAATACTACACACATTCCCATGCACGAGTGAGAAGTGCAGTGGTAGAGACATGGATGAGTGCACTGGTAATGATATTAACCTTAAGTGCTTCTGAAAGTATATGTAGCCTCTGTTGTTGTCATCAGCTCTGCTCTGACTGCAGGGCCCTTCCAAAACAAAGTTGAGCACAGACTAATGCTGCATGCATTGACCGACCAACCAACACTCTTCCCTGAATCTTACTGGCTCCCTCGCGCTCCCCTGCTCTTTCAATAATTGATTCAATCTGCATGCTCTCTCTCTCTCTCAGATTAGGGGAGGGAAGGAAAAACAGGGGAGAGCAAACGGAAGGATAGGAAAGTGAAAGAGGGCACAGCGGTAGGGTAAACAAGAGACCAAGTGAGAGAAATAGAGAAAAATGGATAAGCAGAGAGAACAAGAGGGATGAAGAGGATGTGGGCTAAATTATCGATGAGGTTAAACTGGTGTGTTTCCTGTTGAAGCTCTTATCTGAAATCAGTTAGGCACCCAATTAATTCTACACACACACAGGCTGTGATATGTGTACATGGACGGATTATGAGACAATGGGCCCCTGGGCACAATGTAAAATTGTAGTTGCTTTGAGTGTGTTTCTGGTCGTTTAGTCTTTTTGTAGTCATTTCAAACCCTTTGTAGTTACTTTACGTGTCTTTGTGGTCGTTTTGAGCCTCCCTGTAGTCATTTCACATCTCTTTGTAGTTGTTTTGCGTGTCTTTGTGGTTATTTAGAGTCTCTTTATAGTCATTTCACACCTTTTTGTAGTTACTTTACGTGTCTTTGTGGTCGTTTTGAGCCCCTCTGTAGTCATTTGGTTGAATTTCCAAAAATAAATATTAACAGTTACTTCAAACAGAGGTTCTGAGGCCCATACATTCAGGGACACCTGTGCCTGTGCCTGGTGGCCCATTCAGTAATCGATCCATGTGTGTGAGTATAAATTAACTAATAACTAACTGAGAGCAGTTTGAGGTATTCAACCACAGAGATGGTGGACATTTAAGAGAAAGACTGTCTTCTTTCCTGGGTTTTGTAAGCATCTGTTTACTTCCTCTAGTTGGTATATTTCAAGAGCAAAACCATTTTTGCTTCTGATATCTTACTAACTAGTCTGTTCATTTTGTTGTATGAGTAAATAAAACTATTGAAAAGGTGCAGCATGTCTTCAACAAAAACATCTCTGTCTTTCTCTCATTAGAGCCCCAAAAAATGTGGTACATTTTCTGTGTCTCTACTGGTTTGTCTCTTTCACATACCTTTCTTGTCCTTCCCTTCTTCCTCTATTTCTCCAGCACCCAGTAGGGTGAAGATGATGCCCGTCTGTGAGTTGACACCTACAGCTGTCACCAGCATCCTTCCGGAGCCCTCCATCACATGAGTACCTTAAAGTCCAAATATATTACTGGTGTAGAGTCAAATAAGAAATCAGTGGTGCTTGCAAAGTGGCAACCCCAAGTGGTTACAGAAATGAAACAACAACTTGTGATATTGCAAATTTTTAGCAAGGTTCTTTGTTCGGTTTTGTTCATGCGCAACATTGATAGATGACCTGAGCTGCTCTCACACTTTGAGCTCAGCTCAACACGATACATCATCATTTCGGCAAAAGAAAAAGCTCATTTGAAAAAGGATAAAGCCCTTTGGAGTGCACCCAACGCATAGTTCTGACAAGTGGGTCAGACAATAAGGAGTTTGGTCAAATAGTTTTGTAGAAGGCTTCTCTAGTTGAGTTATTTTGGTATTGACAGAAAAGCAAGCCAAACCTGGTTGTCTTAAAGTTCATCGTCTGCCATACAATGCTTTTTGTCTAAAGTCAAATCAATAGGAAACACAGAGATGCTTACAATAGGTTCCTCCTTTTATTTTATTCATTTCAGTTTTAAACTTGAGTGAATATATTTTGGGACACTTGTGAAAGTACACACTACACCAACATATTATCCCCTTATAAAGATGCTTACTTACACATCCAGCAGACACAGAGTAACTTTAGAATGATTTTTGGAGCAGTGGCTCTGGCCACCTTATGAATTGAATTCAAATATTCACTCCTGGCTAAATGCTCCACTTGGTTCACCAGGTGGTCGCTAACTTGGTCTGCCTGCTGTTTGGTGGTAGGCAAGTTTACCAAGTTCACTGAAAATAGCTGGTTTCTGTGGCTGGAAATAAGGTTGATGAGATCAGTGACATTCATAGACTTCAATTAGTCCAATTTACATAAAAATCTTCGTACCCTGTCTTAACCAGCATGCACTTTATATTAATCTCACTATTTGTAAATTGAATCTCCCTGCATCATAGCCTTTTGTCAGGCATGTCCACCGAGAATCAAAACTGTGAATACAAACCTGAGAGCAGCATGGGGTCCTTATCCACAGACTTGGTTACGTGGTCAGACTCTCCTGTAAGAGAGCTCTCATCTATCTTCAGATCGTTCCCTTGGACCAAGATACCATCAGCTGGCAGCAGGTCCCCTGAACACAGACCAGCACAGATCAGTGTTTGATTCACCTTGTAGTTTATGTACTATTTGATTTGGGACAAGTCAACAGGGACATTTATGCATCTCTTGTGGACATTAAGTAATCAACACGGTAGGAAATGGGCTTTTGCTGAAGGTTAGATGAGAAGGGCAATACCACTTTTATGTCTGTGCGCTAAATATAAAGCTGCTTACAGCCAGGATGTGACTAGCTTAGCATACAGTCTGGAAGCAGGTCCAAACAACTTGCCTGACTCTGACTAAAGGTTCAAATTCCAACTACCAGTACCTCCAAACTAATTGCCACATTATGTCTCGTTTGTTTGACTGTACAAAACACAAATGTCCTGTTGAAAAAGAGCAGATTAATCATTTTTGTCCTCCGCCTGCAGGCGAACCCCAGTTTTATCAATTTAGTCAAAGGTGAGAAGAGTGCTCCAATGAGGAGGGGTTTCAAATTCCAATGCATCAGTTTTGCTTCTTGTAGCTTCATCTTTTATTTCTTTAGATATTATATAGGGTGTACAATTAATCAATTCATTAGAAATAAATTGGTTAATCAACAGTGAAAATATTTGTAGCTGCTCTTTTATACAATAAGCGTTTGTGACGGTTCCTTACCGTATTTGACCTGAGCCATGTCCCCCACCACCATGTCAGCCACAGGGATCTGGATGACATTTCCTTTACGCACCACAGTGAACTTCTGTTCTTGTTCAATCCGACTCTGTAGGCCCCGGAACTGCTTCTCTTTGGACCAGTCGTTAAACGCCGTCACCAGGACGACACACACAACAGAAAGCAGGATGGCCGCACCCTCAATCCAGCCGGTGTCACCCTCGCCTTCATCCTCTGCGGACCCCGACAATTCTCCACAAGCTGGGCAGTGGGGAACAGAGGGAAGGTTGGTTACATATACTGTGGTTCACACAGCCAGAGACATGATATCACAACTGAATCAGATGGTATTTAACCCACCTGAAGAACCAGCAGATTGGTGGTATGGATAGTTTGGTTATCAAATGTAAGATGGAAAGCAATCTGTGATCCAAATTTAAATAAATGGTAAAAAAAAAAACTGACTGACATCAAAATCTCGGGAAGACATTTAGTTATAAGCTAAGACAAGATGGCGCCGCGGATGGCGGCCTCGGCACTGCGCTCTCTTTGGTAGTTAAATGTTTATGCTTATCTCTGCTCTTGTCCTTGTTTTTGGTTTATTTGCCTATTTCTGTGCATGAACGTTGAGAGCAACGGAAAAGCTGGAGTCAAATTCCTTGTATGCATACGCATACATGGCCAATAAAGCTCATTCTGAGTCTGACAAACAATATGGTTGAGGTTTAAGACTGCAGTGGCTCTTTACAAGTGGCTGCATTTGACTACAGTCATCATATCATTTACTACTATTCAAATGTTTAAAACAGTGACAAACAGTGCATGACTACAAATGATTACCTCTACCTCATGAAATGACTGTGAGGATAGTTTGGATGTGCTGCTGTTATCTAGGGCGCACTGTGAGGTTTCCGACAGAGCCGCAGTGTCCTTCTGTTCACTGAGCCCACTTCCTCTCTACCATGACCTCTTACTGTGGTAAACCCACCCAGACAGCTAATGGCAACCATTTGGCAATCCCTTTTGCTTTGTATTCCTTCAGCTTTTGTGTATTTCCATATTCTAACCATGAGACCAATAAAGATGATTAGATCTTCAAGATCATTGAAGATATTTCTGATCTATCAACAACATGAACTTTGTTCATGTTGTTGATTTATTAACACCATCTTAAGTGAGATAAGAATCATACTTAAGGATTTTTTGCTGAAAGCTGTTTGATTTCGAAATTTCAGTTGACAGTTGTTTCATTACATCTGGTAATTTACTGGAGCTAATACATTATTCATAAGACTTCTACAAATGCCATAACTTGTTAGTTTCTTTTCCTCATGCAATGTGGGTTTGCTATGGTGCTATAGACTGTTCTCTTTGAATTGTCTCTCATTTGAGATTGAGGTTATATTCTGTTCATATAGCAGCAGCATATAAGTGTCAGGTCAGCATAAGAATGCTATGTGAGCCCAGCTGACTCATATGCTTTGGTAAAACTTGGTTATTTTCTGTAACCAAGTGATGTGTACCTCCCTCAACATTTGTCCCATGGGGACTGTCCATTGTTCCAACAGCCCATTATTCCGAAACAACAATAGTCCAAAAAGTGTCCCATTTGTCCAACAGCCCTTTATCCTGAAAACAAAGCTAACTGCTCGGAATGTACACACTCTCCCTGCAACAAACAGAGGCACATGGCTAATCATTATGCAGAATGATGTCATTGGACCTAACCAAATATTTGCTACTATGGTGAAGGCATGACCCGCCCCACTCCGCCTCTGATTGGCTAGTACTTGTTGCCTCCATTGTTTGCATTGTTAGGTTTACGCATGAAAAGCAAGATTGGTTAGGGTGAGAATATCAGGGTAAGCCAATCAGAGCCAGAGTAGGGTGAGTAAAGCCTTCGCCATATTTGAAAGAAAATATTGCAACCACGAAGGACCATGAGGTCATTCTTTATGTGCCTCTGTTTGTTGCTGGGAGCAATCGGCCTTCAGAACAATGGCATGACACCCTTCCCACTATACCGTAAATACTTTACCCATGAAGTGTTGATCAATTCAATAAACTCTGGGGGTTTGCTGCTATACTTACTTAACTCTTCTTTACTTGTGCTATTGTTGAGTTTTATAACTGTATATTATCCCAATATTTGGTCTGGCATAACCTGTAGCATAAGAGGCTAATATTAGCAACATTTTAGATATATGTTGCTGTGTAACTGACATCACTGAATCAGTTTGCTGATTTTATGACTCTTGAGTAATAAAGTACATTTTTGGACCAAGTTATCTTGAAGGTGCAGTCTGTGATTCCAATGAAACACACATTTTGTGAAATCTAGTGAATATCTCCTCACGGCCTGCTAGCTGTCCGTTCTGAGTTTTTACACGGCCCGAGCTCCATTATTGGGTAACACACCACCATTCCAGCCAATCAGCAACGTGCTCGTACACAGGACAGGGGAAAGGACATGGACGTATAAAGAGAAAGGCATTGGGAGTGAGCGGGACGGTGTATCTGGAGGGGGGTATTGGTTTGTTGAGTTCACATCTTTCTCCAGAATCACTGACTCCACCTTCAACTCAAGGTCCACTTACTAGGCTTTTTCAACAGCATCTTATGGTCTGAACCAGCAGATTGGATTTGCATGGATTTTGCTCTCTTTTGTGGAGGGTAAATCTATGTCTCTCTCCTCGACTATACGTTACCGATACATAAGCTTGATTTACTGATAGTTTCGTCCTTGTCCCTTTATTTTATCTCTCACCATGCTCTATGAAGAGCCAAACTTGTCTTCTCTTCCTATAACCGTAGCTTCCTCCCTGTCTCGTTCCTGGTCCCCTCTTTAACCAGGATACTATAGGGTGATACTGTATGCTGACTCATCTTCTTTGTTACCTGTCTATGTCTCTCCCCTTCTATTGCTCTTACTCCCCCTTGTCCTCTCACACCCTCCCAAATCATCCTCCCCAGCCCTCTCTGCCCCTGCCCTCACATTCGCTATCCTTTCCGGGAGGCTGGTAGAAAGAGAGGCCGAGCGAGATGATGGCGGCGGCCTCCAGGATGATGAGTGTGACGTCCTGTAAGGCCTCCCACACAAGTTCCAGGAAGGTCTTGGGCTTCTTCGGCGGGATGAAGTTTTGGCCAAACGTTTGGTACCGACGCTCCATGTCTGCCGGATCCCCACTGAGGCCTGAGAGATGGAGAAGGAGGATGGGACAGAGAGAGAGAGAGAGAGAAAAAAAAGAGGAGGGAAATACAGAAGCCTGAGATGTTAGCTAATTTATTACTATTAAAAAAAATCAAGCAAAATTCACATGCCAAGAGGGATACAAACAAAACATATCTGCACACACACTGACAAATTCACAATTCAAGAAGAATTTTGTGAATCAGTGACCTTTGAATGGGTTAGGTTCACCATCATGTGTAGAGGTCCCGCATGTGCAAATCAAACAGCCGCGCTGTTTGATTTGCTTTTGCGTATGTTGCTTTTGCGAGCACTTTTACATTACTCCGCGCAAAATATCTCTGCTCGACATTGATTTGCCTTTATATAGTAGCTTATCACTAGGACATGCTGAGACACACATGAAGAATCACCCCAAAAAAGCCCAAACCTACGAGACAATCTTTCCCTATCCACAACACATTCAGATCTCTCCCCTTCAACCTCACCCCTAAGTAATTCAGTTTCCATGGTGACCATGATATCAGGTCCAGGCTTCCTGTCTCTAACAGGTTTCTGCCTAGCAACAGGTGATGTCATTCCTCCAGTGTGATAGGTTTGGAGCAGAGCTTTCTTTTTTTCCTTCTTTTTTTGATTGGCTGTTGGGGAGAGGGGGAATGGCAATTTGTATACTGTGGTTGGCCAAGATCGGTGACTATTTTTGCGTCCGTTTGCCCGTGTGTGTTCGGAGATATCCCAGTCCAGAGTGCTTGCTGCAGGGACTCATGTGTGGCTCCCAGCGTTGCCAAAGAGATGTGTAGCAATATGATGCTCAACAGGGTTTCTCAACGAGAGAGAAAGAGAGAGAGACAACAGGCCTTATGCTGAGTAATCGTAGTGAGCTGTATCCTCCTTCCATTAGTCCCTCCCTCCCTCCTTCCATTTCTCACCCATCCCGTTGTTCATCCCTTCCTCCTCATCCTCTTCCACAGCCTCTCTCGTTG